GGGGTCGAAACTGTGTCCCCTTCATTGTCAGGCAGATCCTTAACCATTGGGCCCCCATGGAAGACCCCCCTCTTTTTATTTTTAATTAAAAATTTTTTACTGAATAGTTGATGTATGATATTATATGTTAAAATATAGTGATTCAAAAATTTTCAAGGTTATACTCCATTTATAGTTATTACAAAGTACTGGCTATATTCCCTGTGTTGTACAATATATCCTTGTAGCTTATTTTATACACAGTATTTTGTACCTCTTAATAACTTACCCCTATATTGCTCCTCTCCCTTCCCCTCTCCCCATGGATAACCACTAATTTGTCCTCTGTATCTGTGAGTCTGTTTCTTTTTTTGTTATATTCAGTAGCTTGGGTTTTCTTTTCTTTTTTTTTTTTTTTTTATGATTCCACATAGAGTTGATATTATACAGTATTTTTCTTTCTCTGACTTATTTGATTTAATGAATTCAGTTATTTCAACTTAGAGTCCATCCATGTTGTTGCAAAAGGAAAAATTTCTTTTATGGCTGAGTAGTATTGCATTGCATATATATACACACACCACTATTTCTTTATCCATTCGTCAGTTGTAGACACTTAGGTTGCTTCCATGTCTTGGCTATTGTAAATAGTGCTACTGTGAATATTGCAGTATCTTTTGAAATCGGGGTTTTTTTCTTTCAGATATAGTCCCAGGAGTGGAATTGCTGGATCATATGGTAGTTCTGTTTTGTTTTTTTTAAGAAATCTCCATACTGTTTTCCACAGTGATTGTACTAATTTACATTCCCACCAACAGTGCACAAGTGTTCCTGTTTCTCCACATCCTTGCTAACACTTATTTGCATTGTTTTTGATGATAACCATTCTTACAGGTGAGAGGTGACATCTCCTTGTTGGGGATTTTTGGGGGCTGTGTCTGGTCTTAGTTGCATCATGTGGGATCTTTGCTCTGGCATGACGGCTTCTCTCTAGTTGCAGCATGCAAGCTCCAGAGCATGCGGCCTCAGTGGTTGCAGCACTTAGTTGCTCTGAGGCATGTGGGATCTTAGTTCCCTGACCAGGGATTGGACCTGCATCCCTTGCACTGAAAGGCAGATTCTTAACCACTGGACCACCAGGGAAGTTGCTCATTGTGGTTTTGACTTGCATTTCTCCAATTATTAATGATGTTGAGAATCTTTTCACGTACTTATTGGCCATCTGCATGTCCTCTTTGGGGAACTGTCTATTCAAGTCTTCTGCCAATTATTTAAGCAGGTTGTTTGTTTTTGATGTTGAGTTGTAAGAGCTGTTTATATATTTTTAATATTAACCCTTTTTTGGTCATATCATTTGCAAATATTTTCTCCCATTCTGTAGGCTGTCTTCATTTTGTCATTGGTTTTCTTCAGTGTGCAAAAGCTTTGAAGTTTAATTAGATCCTACTTGTTTATTTTTGCTTTTATTTCCTTTGCTCTAGGAGACAGATCCAGAAAATATTGCTACAGTGTATGTCAGTATTCTGCCTATGTTTTCCTCTAGGAGTTTTATGGTTTCTGGTCTTAGATTTAGCTCTTTATTTAGAGTTTGTTTTTGTATATGGTGTTATGAGAACGTTCTAATTTCATTCTTTTACAGGTGGCTGTCCAGTTTTTCCAGCACCACTTATTGAGGAGACTGTCTTTTCTCCACTGTATATTCTTGCCTCCTTTGTGTTAGATTAATTTACCAAAGATGTGTGGGTTTTATTTCTGGGCTCTCTATTCTGTTCCATTGATTTGTTTGTTTCTATGCTAGTTCCATACTGTTTTGATTACTATAGCTTTGTAGTATAGTCTGAAGTCAGGGGGCCTGATTCCTCCAGCTCGTGTTCTCAAGATTGCTTTGGCTATTCAGGATCTTTTGTGTTTCCATATAAAGTAAAAAAATTTTTTGTTCTAGTTTTGTGGAAAATGTCATTGGTATTTTGATAGGGATTTCATTGAATCCACAGATTGCCTTGCATAGTATGGTCATTTTAACAATATTAATTCTTCTAATATGAGAACGTAATATTTCTTTCCATCTGTTTGTGTTGTTCTGTGGGTTCTTTTGCTTCATTTCCTCTCCAGCTTTTCCCTGCCTTTGAGTGAAGATTTGCAGTAGGATTGAAAATGCAGAGGGCACACCAGTTCCCATCCTGGTTCTGAAGCACAACCAGCAGGACTAGCTCTGGCCACTGTCACAGCCTCCCAGCACCTGTGTCTTCTCTGCCAACTGTCAGTACCAACAACCACCTCCTCTCAGGGTGGTTGTGAGAATCCACAGTGATAGCTTTGAGTGAGCCAAGTCAGTGCAAACCCACCATTCTGGCATTTCTGGATGTCCCCTCTGTAGCCTGGCCAGCCACATAGCCACGCCCCAGCCCCTCCTCTCTCAACAGGCTGCAAGTGATCACTCAGGATGGAATGCGGGATCCCCAGAGCAAGTCCCCTAGCTGGCCATCACTGATTCTGCTAAGGAGGGAGGACTGGCGAGGGATCCGATTGTGAATATCATGGCATCCTGTGCCCCAGACCCACATGAGCCTCCCTCAAGAGTTGTGTCTACATGGTCCATTTCCTGACACAGCTTTCTCATTCTCATTATAAAAGTCACCCCTGTTCATTGGTGAAAACCTGAAACAGAAATTAAAATCCCATTCTCAAACCCTAGATCCCATGATGATGTCACATGCAACTTTGCTTTCTTTCCTTGTCACCACATGGACAAGAATTTCCAGTGTGTGTAAACCTGTATCAGTGCCACTTGTTTAGAATTTTTATTGAAGTATAGTTGGTTTACAATGTTGCATTAATTTCCCTGTACAGCAGGGTGATTCAGTTATATCAATACGTATGTATATTCTTTTTCACATTCTTCTCCATTATGGTTTATCACAGGAAATTGAATACAGTTCCCTCTGCTGTACAGTGGGACCTTGTTGTTTATCCATTCTATATATAATAGTTTGTATCTACTAATCCCAAAGTTCAAGTTCTTCCCTCACTCACCGTTCCTTTCCTTTGGCAACCCCAAGTCTCCTCTGTATCTGTGAGTCTGTTTCTGTTTTGTAGATACACTCATTTGTATTGTATTTTAGATTCCGTATGTAAGTGATACCATATAGTATTTGCCATTCTGACTTACTTCCCTTTAGTATAATAATCTCTAGGTCCATGCATGTAGTTGCAAATAGCATTATTTCATTCTTTTTTATGGCTGAATAACAGTCCAGTGTGTGTGTGTGTGTGTATGTGTACATATAGGTTGTTTCCATGTCTTGGCTATTGTAAATAGTGCTTCTCTAAACATAGGGGTGCATGTATGTTTTCAAATTATAGTTTTGTCTGGGTATATGTCCAGGAGTGGGATTGCTGCATCATATAGCAACTCTCTTTTTAGTTTTTTGAGGAACCTCCATACCGTTTTTCATAGCGGCTGCACCAATTTACATTCCCACCAACAGTGTAGGAGGATTCCCTTTTCTCCACGCTCTCTGCAACATTTATTATTTGTAGGCTTTTTGATGATGGTCATTTTGGCCCATGTGAGGTGGCACCTCATTCTAGTTTTGAGTTGCATTTCTCCGGTAATTGACAATAATGAGCATCTTCTCATGTGCCTATTGGCTATCTGTATATCTTCTTTGGAGAAATGTCTGCTTAGGCCTTCTATCCATTTCTCAATTGCGTTGTTTGGTATTTTTGTCGTTGAGTTGTATGAGTGAGCTGTTTGTATATTTTGGAAATTAAGCCCTTGTTGATGCCACTTTTATTAACTGCATTAGTGTTCTGCTTATAGAAAAACATAGAAAATTTACTTAGCCATCATTATTGGACATTTTGATTGTTTCTGAGTTCTCATTATTGTAATTCTGCATTCAAGACTATATTGCCTAAATCATGGTGTCTCAGATTTTTTTTTTACCTTTTTACTGAGACATAATTTCAGATTTAATCAAGAAAATGGTAAAATTAGTACACAAAGAGCTCCCATATGCCTTTCCGTCAGTCTTTCCAAATGTAAACATTTTAGAAGACCATAATACAGTATAGAAACTGGGGACTTTATTGATACAAGACCATTAGCTGACAGGATACCATTAACTAAAAGAGTGCTGGAGAGGCAGTGACTCAGGCATAGCCCGATCTCAGCCGTGCGTGTCTCTCCTGCACAACAGAGGACTGGGCCGGTTCGGTAAGGATCCTAGGTGGAAGAGAAAATCTAGAACTGGGTACCCAGAGGGCCTTCCGAGGTGGAAAGCACCATCCGTGGGCAGGACGGGTGCCGGCCGTTGCCCCTGGCAGAATCCCTGGCTCCAGAAGAGGCGGAGCGGGCAGCGCCCCGGTGGGGGTAGAGGGTGTTGGTGTTGTGGGTCCGGCCTGGCTGCGCCTTTAACTCCTGCGGCTTCTCCCCCTCCCCAACACCCTCTCTGTGGCCTGGCGCACCGACACCCAGAGGCAGGTGAGTGGGCAGCTCGAGAGAGGCCTCAGTGCGTGTCCCCCGCATGTGCAGGCCCGAGGCCGGCTCTCGCCCCCGCAGAGCGGCCCGCGTGCCCTTCGGCTGCCCCTTGCATGCGGCGCTCGCTGTGCACGCGGCTGCCTCCTGCCCTCACCTGTCCCGTGTCCCCTGCGCTCCCCTTAACCCCAGCCTCCCGCTTCAGGCCGGTTTCGCTGCGCCTGCTGTCAGAGGGGGGAGTGGCCCAGGATTCTCGGGGAGGGGGTCATCTTTCCAGGTGATCTTAGGATGGGGGGCGGGTGCAGCTCACGCCTACAGAGGCCTGAGAGGTTACCCCTTGGCCGTTTGCCACCAGGAAGCCTGGTCGCTGTGCAGTAGCCATCTTGGGCACCCTTGGTCCTGTGGAAGGAAAGGGCGGGCAGGGATAGGAAAGGCAGGCCCCGCTTGCTGTGCTGCTCAGCGCCCCTCCCCGCCCTCTGAGGAGACCCCAGCCCTGGGCCTCAGCGCTCTGCTGACCCTCTGTATCCCATTCTCCCCGCAGGGCATCGAGCGCCTCCAACGAAAGAACCAGCGCAGGCAACGCAGGGGCAGCTGGAAATCGGTCAAAGAGACCTTCGGCGGGGCCTTTTCCCTGAACTGGTTCAACCCCTTCTCCGGACCGAGTCACCCAAAGCCGCTGAGCGACAGAGACTGGGTGCGACAGGTGTCCTCGGTGTCAGACACGGAGAACACGGAGACCACAACGGAGGAGCCGTCGGAGGAGCGGAAGGACTTGGACTCCGCGGAGGTGGTCGATGAGTGACGCTGCGGGGCGGGGGCCGGGGCCCGGGCGCCTGGGCACCCCACGCGCTCCCCTCACGCTCCTGACCTCCGACCCCCCTCCCTCCCCCACGCCGGGCCAGGTCAGGCGATGGGGGTGGACGCAGAGAGACTTGCTCTGAGCTCCCCACCCCGTGAGGGATTGTCAGGAACCATCCTCCAGGCTGGGCGCGCTTCCCAGCAAAGGAAGCTCCCAGCAGGGCAGCCCAGAGGCAGAAAAGAACTTGCCTCTGTCCTTTCTTGGGGTGTCTGTCTTCTCTTGAGAAGGCTGGGGCCCAGGCTCCTGGCTTTTGGAAACTAAAGCTGTGATGAGTTGGTGACAGAAGGACAGAGCAGGGCTGGCCTTGGAAACCCCAGCTTAGCAGAGATGGGCCTGGGCAGGCAGTGAGGATCCTGGCCGCTCCCCAGAAAGGGCTACCCACCAACCCCCGTGCCTGCCTTACTAGGAGACAGCCATGGCGGCTTCGGCCACCTGCGGGGCTCCAGCCACCTGTGGGGCTCCAGCCTGGTTTGAGAGAAGACCCCCACACACATGGGGTGTGCCCAATTGGGCACAAGCCTAAGTTGTGGCAGCAGCACGCATACTCCGCTTGCATTCCGCAGACACCAGAAGCCTCAGTCTGCTCTGAGGTGTCCTGTCTTGGGGCTAAGAACCTGTCCACTCCCGGTGGAGGGGCAGAGGGACAGCCGACCTGGAACGCCGACCTCCCCTGTGAGAACTGCATTTAACTGTCCCTCCTGAAAAGAGTCTAACCACCCACATGGGCAGAATGGACCAGAAAATCCAGCCTGAGAGTCTTAGGCCTGTAACCTAAGACAGTGCCCTTTCTTGGGGTGTCTCTCTCAAACCATGGATGGTGGCCAGGGCCTGCCGATTGAGAAGCAGGAAGGCCCCCTGTCACACACACAGACCTCCCGCACTACCAGGCTGAGCCGGGACCCTGCTCATCCCATGTGAAGCCTGAAGTGTCCATGATCATTCTTGAAGGCCTGAGCAGGGTGTCCTGGGTTCACAATCCCATTCTCATAGCAGCTGAGCAGCATCTTTCACAGAGTCCGGAAGAGGGTTGGTGCCCCTTGGTGATTGTGGGTAAGAAAGGAGGGCCAGGCAGTGGCCTTTCTGGGAGGGCACCCTTGGGCATTCTGTAAAGGTGGCGACTGTCAGACACTGCTGTCCACCCCCAGTGACCTGCCAGGCTCTGGGCTTTCTTGAGGAGGGGACGCGTCTTTCCTCATCCCAGCTCTAATGATGTCTCACAAAAGGGTGACAGCAGGACTCCGGCATTGATAAAGCAGTTGGCAGGGCATGGGGCCATCCACACCCAGGCTGTAGGCCTCTTTTCTGGATCTGTATCAGCTTTAATATTTATTAACAGCCATATAAAGGACCCTGGGGGGCTCTGAAGCCTGTTAACTCACCATCTACGCAGGGTGTGACTACGGAGGCCTGCTAGTTTTTATCCTTACCCAAAAAGGTAAAGGTATCCTTCGTGCATCCAAGGCGCAGGCTTGATGGACTGTATACCCAAGAGACTCCACACCGGGGAAGGAAAGGCATCCCAACCCCTGGAGTCCCCAGAGGCCATGGTTAGAAGAAGGGGACAGGGGTCACTGGTCACTGTTTGCAGACAGCTTCAGGGGTCTCTGCTGAGTCCAAGCCTGAGGTCAAAGGCATGTGCTGAACCTGGGCCCCTGAGAAATGTCCTTGCATGACAGGTTTGAAACCTGTCTTCCTCTGGCCATCATGGCCTGAAAGCAGAGGTACCCACCAGGCCCAAAGTCACTTCTGCTTTCAGATTGGTGGGTGGGGAGGCCTTTCACCCGCACAGAGTGGGACCCAGCCCCGACCCCTCTCCTCGCTGAGCCTATCTCCCTCCACACTAGACACATCAGACCGTGTCCCATGTGGGAATGATCTGCCCAACCTTAAGCCTCGTGGCCTCGCACAAGCAACCACAGTGGCCTTCTCTCCATGGTGGCTGTCGCCAGTGTGATATTCTGCTTAACCCCAAACTGACCACAGGGCGACTGATGTCAGAACAAGCTGAGGGCTGCAGGGAGGGAGGCCAGGCACAAGCTTCCACCTCTTTATTTGAATAAAAAGCTCTCTGGTCCACCTCAGCTGCCAGAGTCTTGTGTCTTCATGGAGCTCCCAGTCCAGACCTCCCGGGCTGCGTCCTGCCTCTCACCTCATCTTAAGGACATCTCTGAGCCTCTTCTCTCCCATTTGTGGCCCAGGAGACAAGTGTCACACAGCTACGCCTTTGTCTTGGAATCTTCTCCCCGTGGTATTTCCGGCAGGAAGAAAACTCACCTTTCATGCACCAAGCATCGATGGAGCAGCTACTGTAGATATTTGGGCCAAGAGTGCCCAGAGCTGAAGGTCCTTGACTCTAGAGCCCAGGCTTCCACCTCTGAATTTCCTGCAAGTTTCACATAAAGTATCTCTCATTCAGCCCGCATGGTGCTACACGGTGCCTCTGCCAGAGTGTGTCCAATCGGGGTTACAGCCTTAGAGGGAGGAGCAGGCATCCCCAGTGGGGTCCAGAACAAAGAAGCCCGACCCCAGAGAGAGACAGTCCCTTGACCTGGGAAGTTCGGAGGATCAGACAGCTCTCCAGGCACCCACATGGTCCCGGCATGAGACATTGAGAAGCTTGTTTGCAGAAAGAGAAAAGTGACCCTGAGCACCGCATGGCCATCTTGAAGGCATCGGAGTTTGGTTAAAGGTGCACTGATCATCTGAGCAAATCTCTGGAGGGCATCACCCGAAGAGCTGCAGGCAACACAAGGGCTTTGTGTTGGCACAAGCAGGCGCCTCCTCCTGGGGAGGGGCAGCCCCCTGCCCGAGGGAAGGGGCTTCTCCCTCCCAGGCCGGGCCACCTCCCTGTGGCCGAGAGCCTGTCAGCAGGCCTGAGGCCGTCTCTCCGGGCCCCGGTGCTCCTGTCCACAGCTCTGCTTCCAGGCCGCCATGCGGGGCCAGTAGCATCAGTGAGATGAGGTGTGGGGCTAGGCGGGAGCCTTCATGGCGGCACCCCTTGGGATTCTTCTTTACCCGAGAGGTCAGGAAGGGTCATCCTTCTTTAACCCCCTTCTTTTCCTGGAGCTGGTTCAAGTCAGGGCCCTTCTGGCCGGCCAGCCTGCTTCTGCACCCTGAAGTGGAGTGGAGACCTACGGGGTCACTAAGGCAGCTTTATTCCTGGGGGTCGAGGAGTGAATGGGAGGTATAGGGCGATAGATTTTAACCTCCTTAACCGTGAGAGGGAGAAACTGAAGCAACAGGATCAGCAAATTCAATGACCGGTCTAGGGCCATGTCCAAGGTGGTTCACAAGGGCAGGCCTCCCTGAAAAGGGAAGCTAGAGTCCGGGGGTATAGGGGGACACAGGGCTAACCCTGCTTAGCTGGGCAGGGGCCTGGGATGGGCCTGCTGGTGTGAGGAGGAGGGGTGCTTGTCCATCACTCCCACGGCTGCCTGGAGGAGGTAGATGTTTTGGGTGTTAAGAGTGAGAGTGAAACATCTGGATGAGAACAAGGTGAGGAGCCTGTGGCTTCCTTGGAGAAGGTTCAGAGGCTGTTTGGAGGGAACAGGTAGGCAGGCTCCCTCACCGGGAGGGGTGAAGTCATTCACCACCTTCCCCCTTCCCTCCCCCTGCGTCCTCATGTCAGCCCTCTTGAGGTTTCCTGATTTTAACTACCATCATCAAGTAGGTGGGACCACTGGCTCACCCACCACCATCACCAAGGGCCTGGGGCTTCTTCCACATGGAAGACTGGAAATGGCCCCTGCACTGCAGGTGCCTCGAAGGCCCACCAGCCATGAGGAAGTGCAGGCAGGGGTCATGAATTTTGGTTTCAGGTGCCACAGTTTCAAGTTGCCTGAAGTTGTCAAAAGTCAAAGGCAAGCAGACAGCACGTGGTCCTCAGTCCTGCGTCTGGTTTGGGCACGGGCTTGGTGTGTGCCGAGGTCTATAGGAAAGGCCCTGTCCCCCTGATGGCCCTCAGGCCCCCTCGGGGAGGGAGGAGAGGTGGGAGTGAGGCGTGGGGCAGAAGTCCTTGGACTCCAGGCAGACACAGTGGAGAGAGAAGATACTTTCAGCAGCCCCAGCCAGTGTGGGCAGAAGGCTGTGGTCAGCTGCTGCTTCCAGGGCTGATGTGCACTGGGACTGAAGAGGTGGTCCCTTCTCACAGGGCAAGTGGGCAGCAGCTCTGGGCTTCTGATAGCCTGGGCTATCAAGCCAGCTCTGTGGCTGTGGACGCCTTTGGTTCTGACCACAGACAGCCATGGTCCAAAACTCAAGGTGGCAGGGCAGGGCTCTGGGACCCAGGCTGGGCATTTCTACTGTCAACAAGGTGCCCCTGTGATCCCACATGACCTGGCCCAGTAGTTGTGCTGCTGTGGTTGGTTGACCTTTGAATGCTATCTTTCACCCAGCTAGCTCTTGAATCTGCCCTCATAGGAGTAATCAAACCTGACTGTCTGAAATCTAATGAGTAATAAAATCTAATTATCTGAAAGCTAATACCTAAGGTTTCCTTGGAAGAAAAACTATGACAAACCTAGACAGCATATTAAAAAGCAGAGACATTTGCTGACATTTGTCAGACCTTTGCTGACAAAGGTCCATATAGTCAAAGCTATGGTTTTTCCAGTAGTCATGTATGGATGTGACAGTTGGACCATAAAGAAGGGCACCAAAGAATTGATGCTTTCAAACTATGGTGCTGGAGAAGACTCTTGAGATTCCCTTGGACAGGAAGGAGATCAAACCAGTCAATCCGAAAGGAAATCAACTGTGAATATTCATTGGAAGGACTGATGCTGAAGCTGAAACTCCAATACTTTGGCCACCTGATGTGAAGAGGTGACTCATTGGAAAAGACCCTGATGCTGGGAAAATTGAAGGCAGGAGGAGAAGGGGACGACAGAGGATGAGATGGTTGGATGGCATCACCGATTCAATGGACGTGAGTTTGTGCAAACTCTGGGAGATGGTGAAGGACAGGGAAGCTTGGGGTGCTGCAGTCCATAGGGTTGCAAAGAGTCTGACACCACTAAGCGACTGGACAAAAATCCCTAGGCAGGAAATGCTAAAATGTTCAACCAAGGCTCAGAGCTGGTCAGAGCTGCCACCTCCTTCCGCGGCATCAGGCAAAGTCTAGTTGGCGATGAGAACAGTCTTCTCAGCAGGAACCTATTTCACCTCATTGGAACTAAACTTGTTGAGAAATTTCTTAAGTCCAGCTTTTGTTGGGATGTCTTTTATGTGGAATCTGATGGTCTCCCCAGGCTTCACTGTCCTGGAAAATTCAAAGATACACAACCATGCGGTTGGCTGGGAGTGCTGCGGGAGAGGGGAGGGGCACTGTGAGAGAAGCCGGGAGTCCCAGCCTCAGCTCAGTCTTTTTGAAGGGTCCTGGCTGGTCCTGGGCAGGGCACATGGGCATCCACACTGGGCTCTGTGAGAAGTACCTAGGAACTTTAGATGACTACTAATGATGAGACCCAGGCTGGAGAGTCAGTCGCAGCTGTCAGGGCTGGGACACGCTGCCAGGGCTGGGCGGGGACATCAGTAGTATTTCTGCCATTGGAGCACTAGGTATAAACCAACAAGCTGAAGACAAGTTCAACCTCCAACTTGCTGAGTCTGATCAACATACCGACTTTTCCAACTTGGATTACTATAGAAGACCTTCACACTGTAGAACACACATGCTCCTCTAGCTTATTCTGGAAGATCAGAAGATCCAGAAGTGCAGCTCTTAAGTTCCTATACAGTCTCAGCTAGCCAAGGTGAGCGGCAGCGCCTACTGTTTACAAGGTACCTCAAACATCCCTAGAGACATGACTGCCTGGAGATGCGTGTGTTTTCCCCAATTCCTCTCAGGAGGTGGGAGAAATTTTCTACTAAGCCACTTGGGTGAGGGTGGGAAGGGAAATTCCCCAAGAGAAACTCTTGACGCTTAAGTCATGAAAGACCCCTCTCTGCCTTTGGGGGCGTGGGGTGGGGGCTGCGGGGAGGGCAGGAGGTGCACACCTGACAGGAAAGAGTTGCTAAGGAGCTTTTCACTGTAACTTTTGCATCTTTAGAATTTTGTACTACGTGCAAATAATTACTTATTCCAAAAATTTAAATGTTAAAGATTCAGTTGAGCAAAAACTTTAAAAATAAAATTGCCTGTTGATGCATCACTTCAGAAATTCTAATTTGGAAAAGCAAGGTGTTATTTCTCTTAGGAATACACCTGGCCTGAAGAATAAGCCAACTAGGGCACTCCCCCCACCCCCCCCCCCCCGCCCCAGGGGTCTTAGAGACCCACCCAGAGCCAAGACCGAGCTCCAGGCAGGAGCCCTTTCTGCCTCTAGTGGCTCGCCTCTACCGGGGAGCTTAGCGTACTGGAAAGATACAGATTCCTGAGAGGCGGGCATTTCTTCGGACTCTAGAATTCTGCAATGATGAAACCTTTGATGATTGGTTCATCATCAGACACAGGTAGTCCAAGTAGGTATTGGAATCCAAGGACAGAGTCTCTTCAGATGCTGCCAAAGAGCTAGAGAGGAGGGATGTGGTCATTACTACAGTCCCCCCAAAATGAGTCACCATCAGGCACAGAATTAGAAGAAATCTGGATGGACAGAACTGGGTTACTTTGTGTAAGTCTCTTCCTCTCTCTGGAAAACAAGCAGCCGAGCTCAAGATGAAATAATAATCGACTGCGTTCTCCAGGCTCCCATCCTGAGTCCATGGAGACATCCTCAGCTTTAGAACTTTTTCTGCCCATTCTCAACTGCCCTGGCTACCCACAAACCACTGGTTAGAGCAGGCATTTGAGACAAAATCTTTGCCATCATAAAAGACTTCCAGTGCTACTTCTAGCACCCCTGATTCATGACTGTGATGAACTCCAGGCTTCTAGACTAGTCTCTTTGGCCCCTATTTTCTCTGTGCGTAGATTCCTTGTAACTATCAAGTGGTAGCTACTTAGGAAATGTTCATTTGTGTTAACTCACAAACCATGAAAATCAAAAGCAGGGTCTCTGAAGCAGGGACACACGTGCGCGTGGGGGTTATCGTCCATCCTTGGACCAGTCTTAGGAGGAAGCTACTTGGCCTGGTGGTAGGGGGTGGGGTCCTGCAAGGTCTCCACGAGAGGTCTGGAACAGTGAGGGTTGGGAGGTCAGACATGGGAGGCAAGAGTTAAACAGGAATCAAAGAGACGTTCACTTCCTGAGCCAGCTGTGTAGGACTTCCATGGGCAAGTGTGGGACAGTCCTAGCACAGACATAATTAAGAACGGGAACAATCGTAAACCACTGGGGACAAATGAGATCCCTGAGCCCACACAGAGAGATTGTTTCATAGATGGATATGTCTGATGATTGATACATCAGACAGACAGATGATGGACCGGAGAGAAGGAAGGGCTTTGGTTACAGAATACCGGGCCCAGCACATAAGTGCAGAGGGAGCTGAAGTTGGGAAATGACTGTGAAACCATCACAGAGAAGGCTGGTTCAGACATGAGTTGTCATGCATGCACACTCAGTCGTGTCCAACTCTGTGACTGTAGCTCGCCAGGCTCCTCTGTCTCTGGGATCCTCCAGGCAAGAATACTGGAGTTGCCATGCCCTCCTCCAGGGGATCTTCCTGACTCAGGGATTGAACTTGCATCTCCTGCATTGGCAGGTGGGTTCTTTACCACTGAGCCACTTGGGAAGCCCCAGCATGAGCTGTCAGTGGAAAGTAAATTGGGGGGTGGGGGTGGGGGGGGCAGGGAATGACAGGAATGATTTTCATGAGGACCAGGATATTTGCATGACCTCGTTTACTTCCTGTTTACTCCAATGAACTCTGTCCTTTCTGAAATGAAATGAGGAGGAGGTGAGATGCCTCCGGGAGTGTGAGGCAGCAAACGTTGAGATGCTGGGTGACACAGCAGACTGAAGTAATGCAGTCATAGCCAGGGCGCCTTTAGAGCCTTGAAAAATCTGAAGAGCCACGAAAGGATGCTCCAAGGAGCCTCCCAAGAGGACCTGGTCGTGATCATGCCTTGATTTTTAGACTTCCAGCCTCCAGAACTGTGAGAGAATATGTTTCTGTTGGTTTAGCCACCAATTTTGTGGCCATTTGTTTCCGCCCTAGGAAAGGAATTCACAGCACAGAGTCCGTGTGGAGCACTGGAGCGTCCTCCTCGCCCGCTGCCTCCTTGGGGCCTGCAGCATGACTCAGCACCCCCATACGGGTGGGTTAACGAGGTCAGAGCAGTGCTGGGACTGCAGGAAGACATACCTCAGCTGTCATTTTTAATTTTAATACTTTTGTTTTCTGTAGTTATTGCACCTGGCTGGGTAGAAAAGACTGAAATGTCAACTGCTCGTAACGTCATATCATAAATGCTGGGGAACCATCTCAATCAGGGTAAGCTGCGAGCAAAGTGTTGGCAGGATACAACTTCCTTGTTTTTCGCCACCAGTGGGCGAGTTGGAATTTAAATCCTCTCAGTATTAAAAAAAAAAAAACAGTCTGCATAATGAATGATGTTTGCTGTAACTTCTGCCTCTTGGAGTCTCGAGAGAGAGATGACAGATGGAGACACCGTTAAGGTTTTAAAAGGCAGAGTTGCTCTTAAACCAAAGTTAGCGATAGTTGCTAAGGCGCTCTTGTGAGACCATCAGCCTATGACTTTTCAGCTTGTGTGCAGATTTCTGGCGGGGTGTGGGGGGCACTGTCCAATCAGGACTCGAAAAATGACAAGATGGCAACTTCCCTGGGGCAGGGGGGGTGGGGGGGGTGGGTCCAGTGGTTAGGACTCTCTGCTCTCACTGCCAAAAACCAGGATCCAATCCCTGCTTGGGGAACTAAAATCCCAGAGGCCAAGTGGCGCAGCCATAACATAACATAAAATATTATAAGAGCTATGGACAGATATGCTCCTGAATTTGAAGAACATCTGCCTGGGTAGAGTCAGGAAGGAACTGGCAGGCAGAGAGCAGCCAAGCACCAGGCCTGGAAGTGGGGATGGGATTTCAACTCCCCTCTGAGAACTGCAGCTCACCCTAGTTGCTCTTCCTCCAAAAAAATGAAAGGAAAAACATTAAGACAGAATCAAGATTGCACACCTGGCAGTTTTAACTTATAAAACAAGCATTTATTAATCTAGTTTTTCTTCTCTTGCCTTAATACAGAAGCATGAGGCTGATGGTCTGGTAACATCGATGTGAAGCCGAAAACCCAACCAGTCCTGATTCCAAAATCCCGTGACTGGCCTTCACTAGGCAACAGGATCACAGTTAGTGTGGTCTCAAGTCCATATAGTAAGCTGACCAACCCCAGGGTCTCCTGCGCCTACCGGGGCTCACTGGGTGGGCTGGGGAACATGAGAGTCAACAGCACAGTGCAGACGGATGGAGGAGGTGGCTTCAGGCAGAACACTGCCGAGGTGTACTTCCCCTGAAAGAAGCTGGAGCTGTCCACCCACAAGGCTTCCTGGTCACAGGCCTGCTTCCCTGGGCAGCATCGTCCTCTGGCCTGGGGTCGGAAGGCTGCGCACCCAGATTGCCCTGAGCTGCGGTCCCCACACGCCAGCCCGAGCCTAGGCCGCCATGACTGTCTTTCCAGCGGGTCTGCCCGGCCGGCTGGTGCTACCGCTGCTTGTGCGGAAGGGGCTTCCTGGGCGGTGGGAGCTCCCGGTGGATCAGGGTGAGTCCGCAGAGGATGAGGAACACTCCGCCCCACCACAAGACCTCCTGGCACTCTCTGTACAACACAAAACCCAGGAAGGCCTGGGGGACAGAGACAGCTGTGAGGCTGGGCGGACACGTGCCCGCAGGGTGCGCGGACACCACCTGACTCCCCCTGGGGCCGAAGAAAGGTCTGGGGCTAGAAGTCTTGGGCCTGAAACCCAGCTGTGATCTTCAACAGGTCTCACCTGTAGAAGTGGGCCGGGTACCTCCTCAGAGCACTGGACCAGCAAAGGGGACCAGAGAGGCCAGCAGAGGCCAGAAGCCAGGCCCTGCACATAGCCGGCCCAGCACGTGCTCCCTGGCTCAGCCCACTGGGAGGGAAGGCCCTCCACCCTCCATGTCTCCTGCCTGAGTTCACAGATCCCTGTGGGGCGGCAAACAAGTAGGCTTTTGACAGCTGGACTTCCTCGCCATCTAACTTGAGAATGTCACCAAGTTTGAGAGATTGAAGAAGTCACAAGGAGTCAAGATACCGCCCAACCTCTGCTTCAGTTCCTGTCCCTTCTCCTAGGTGGGAAAGCAGGAGTTGCCCAAGGACAACCCACCCAGAACCCAGATTTGGGACAGAGGAACCATACACTCAGGCTACTCACCGAGTTGAGGATGTTTGAAAAAGTCACCGTGACAGATGCAATGGCTGAAGACATGGACAAACTGAGTCCCCGGCTAAAGAACGTCCACATCAGAGAATTGGTGGTAGCCATCATAATAATGCCTAAGACGCAGAAGCCCACGTTCACCTGCAGGAGAAAGGGTCACTGCAGCCACAGTCAGCCCTGGACAGGCTTGACCAGCAGCCACCATGACAGCCACCCAGGGTCCGGTCATTGCTGGCAGCCAGGCCGCCACAGCCTGGGGGTTCTCAGAGCTTTCCTGCACAGGCCTTCACTTAACCCTCAGCCGGCGCACACTCACTCAACAGCTGAAACAAACTCAAAGACATTTATTTGGCCATTGTACCAGCCATGTGACCTTGGGCAGAAGTAAAGTGCTAATTCATATCCAGTTATCTTCTATTGAACACCAGTCTGTTACGGCCCCACAGTGACCAGTGCAGTGGGGGAAGTTCAGTCTCAGTGGGCCAAGTAGTTATCCCCCGGTCTGAGTAAATGAGGGGCAGAGTCCTCACATGCCAGAATCAGGTGAAACAGGAACTGGTGGTCTCCCTGCTGCTCTGTGCAGCCTAGAAGCCATTCAGCCTGGTCCTACTGGGCATTCTTGAGCTTTTACTTGGTAGCAGGCCCTGGGCTAAGTGTCATAAGTACCTTTTCATATATTCCATAACTTCATTTTACAGATAAGGAACCTGAGGCATTAAGGAACTTGCCTGAAGCACCACAGCTTGGGGAAGCCACCAGGATGCAGGCCCAGGCAATGGGACCGCATGCTCTGAACTAGGACACAGCATGGGAAACCACACCTGGGAGTGTCAGACTAGTGATTCCAGGCGTTACTTGGAGAACATGCAGATTTCATTCGTTTGTTTGTTTCAGGAGACTACTGAGAGGAGAGGCTCTTTAGGAGCCTCCTATACAAAGATGTGCAGACCCCTTACTTGGTTGAGTCATTAACCTGCCTGCAGGCAGAGAGCCGCTTCCCCTGGGGATGGCACCCGACTACACCTCCTCCTCTTCTTTCTCATAAGTTTTCCAGCAGCTCAATATATGGTGTCTTGAGGAAGGAGTGTCTCTGTATAAGTTACACAGAAGCACTGTTATGTGCCAATGGCAGCCTACTTATGTAAAGGCTTAAGAAGGTCTGCTGCACAACTGAGAAAACAAGAAAACCTCATGGCTCATGGTCACTCATCTTACTTTGGACCACTTACTCCAATGAGAATTACACATGCCAGGATACCAACTTCAAGCATGGCAGTGCCCACTGGATTAGCCCTTAACAGGCTTAAACCTAAAGAATCAGCCTGTCTACTGTCTCAGTCCAGGACTAACCCTGAGTTGCAGCAGCTGCAATGAAACCTCTTTACCAAGCAGAAGCTCGCCTATATGACTTGAGACGGGAGAGGCCACCTTAGCAGACGTGGGGAGGCAGTTCAAGAGTTCTCAGCATTGGGAAAATATCCAGAACGTTTGTCTCAGTCTTCCTTTTATACCTAGGACATCCGAAATTCCCAAGTTTCCTGGCAGGTGGGTTGACCAGTCAAAACACTCGTTAAAGACGGAGTTGGGCAACAGGCTTCTCACCTTAAGAGTCACGTGGAGAGAATGCTCAGGCACAAAGGGCTTAAAATGAGAGGTACAGAGTGGATGGAGGAGGTGTGCGTCTTCCCCGAGAATGAACTAGCTCGGAGGACAGATTTTTGGGGTCCCTGGTAAGGGAACAGGCCTCAGTCCCCCACGTCTCTTACCACCTACATTGGAGGAGGGCTGGGCGTGACTCCGAGTAGAGGTATGCGCTTCTGCCCCCGCTGTTCTGCAGCGCCCGACAACGGATGAGCCCCCCAACCCACCCCCCCAAAAACAGACCCGCGGGGGTCGGACGGCCCCAGCGCCGTAAGCTCGGCCCCGCCCCGGAGCCCCGCAGCGCCCCTCCTCCGCCTGGCCCCGCCCGCCGGCCCGCCGCAGCAGCGCCCCCGGCTCGACCTCTCTGCCGAAGGCCAGCTTGGCGGAGGCGGCGGCCAAGGCCCCGAACGCGCCGGCGCACAGGCAGTTGAACACGCCCCAGAAGCGGCGCCGCATCGCGCCGGCCTGGAGGTGCGGGGGGAATCCGGCAGAGGTGTTAGGGTAGGCGGCGGCGCACACCCCGCCGCCTCCGGGCAGCGGTCTTCCCGCCATGGCGCTCGCAGCCACCTCTCGGGGCGCCAGCCGGCGCCTGGGCCGGAGGCGCGCGACGATTGGACAGTGGCCTCACGTGAGCGCCGCACCACGTGAGTGGCATGGCCAATTGCGGCTCCGCGATGGCCTCGAGGGGCGGGGCTGTCGCAGTCTTCCTGGCGGTGGCTGCTTTTCCGCGTTAGGTTTAGGCTTTCGCGGGAGGGCTTCTGGACCGACATATCCAAGGCTGACTGTGGTCGTTGTTGTAGAACAGCTCTTCGTGACTCAGCAATTTCAACCCCTGCTACTTGGTGGGGTTCAGCATCGGTTTCCCCTAGGAATTGTTTAAAATGCCGAATCCCAGGCCCCGCCCCATACCCATTGAATCAGAATCTACATTTTTAACAAAACCCCCAGGAGACTGACCTGCACCTTCTAGAAGCACAAAAGGGAGAGATGCGTTATGGCAGAGGGCGCTCGAGATCTGCAGGCTCGGTAAGAAAGCATAGTTGGAGTTGAGGGCTGGGAGGGAGGTTAGGGCTTCTGGCAACTCAGATGGCCCAGATAGTTAGAAGCACACTGTAGGAAATTTAGAAAGTATAATTAGAAGAAAGTGTCATCCATCATCACCCCACTGACATAATCAGGATTGCCATCACTTCCACTTTCCCATACACTTAAGTACTGCTAAAATGTTTTCACTTAAGAAGTAGCACATTTCTCTGAAAACAAACTGTTGCTGGGAATTTCCTGGCGGTCTAGTGGTTAAGACTCTGCTTCCACACCATGGGGGGCACAGGCTTGATTCCTGGCTGGGAAACTAAGACTGGCATGCCATGTGAGAGGGACAAAAATAATTAATTTAATTTTGAAAAGATATATGTGCTTAGTTGCTCAATTGTGTCCAACACTTCGAGGTCCTATAGGCTGTTCCAGCCAGGCTCCTCTGTCCATGGGATTCTCCAGGCAAGAATACTGGAGTGGGTTGCCATTCCTTACTCCAGGGGAATCTTTTCCCACCCAGGGATCCAACCCACATCTCTTGAGTCTCATGCCTAATCCCCAGCACCCGTGAATGTGAATATATTTGGAAATGGGTCAACTGTAATCAAATTAAGATGAGGTCATTAGGGCTCTAATCTGACTAGTGTCTTTAGAAGAGAGGAAGACACAGGGAAGAATGCCCTGTGACCACAAGGCAGAGATTGGAACACTGTATCTACAAGCCAAGAAACACAACGGTTGCTGCCAACACCACAAGGTCAGAGAGGGGTGGAACAGTTTGTACTCTGGAGGCCTGAGCCTTGCCAGCACCTGGATTTTGGACTTCTAGTCTCTAGAATTGAGAGAGAATATGGATCGGTTGTGTTAAGCCACCTGGTTTGTGCCAATTTGTTGTGGCAGACCTACGGAACTCAAATAGCTGAGAAGACCCAAGCCTGTGTATTACCAGCTTCCCTAGTCCACCACCTTCTCCCACCTGCAAGGCTGCCATCACCTGTAAGATGGGGGGCCCTCCCGCTGATCCAGCTGGCCCTGTAGATCACATGACTCCTATTGTTAAGTCAGTCACTACAAATCAGGTGACCCCATTAATTCAGTCAGCACCCTCGTATCACTTGACTCCCATATATTGATATTAAACCAGCCCCCTAAATCCATCACTTTCCCTTGCATGGAAGCATAATAAAGGAAAGAAGAAAGCAGTGTCCAAAAGTAGTCAGTGCGCCATCAAGGCTTCCTTTTTAGTATTCATATAGAATGGTATTTTAATAGACTACAAATTTATTGAAGACATACCTATATGATAACAGTCTCGTTTTACAAGGGGGATATTAATTTTTGGTGTCTTGGGACTTCCCCGGTGGTCCAGTGGTTAAGACTCTGCACTTTGAATGCACCAATGCAGGGGGCATGGGTTTGATCCCTAAATGGCAACCCACTCCAGTATTCTTGCCTGGAAAAATCCCATGGATGGAGGAGACTGGTAGGCTATAGTCCATGGGGTCGCAAAGAGTCGGACACGACTGAGCAACTTCACTTTCTTCTTTCTTTCTTGGGAAACAGAATCACACACACACACACACACAATCATTTTCAAGATGCATCAATAGTAGTTGTTTTATGTTATCGACATAAAGCTTATATATTACCTTTTAGAATGCCATGACACTTTAAAAAGTTTTAGATCTTTATAAAGATATATATAAAATATATATGTGTGTATATATATATATACACACATGTTATTTTTCAAACCCATCTGAAGTATAATTTGATTGAAGCAAAAAATAGTATGTTAAAGAATAAGTAAAAGCAAACTAACTTGCTCCAAACCTTCTGATGCCAGTGGCTTTCCAGCTCACTGTGAGGTCATGTCCCATTAATTTCCACCATATCTCTGCCTTCAGCTTCTGCTCCTCTCTCCTTCCTCATTCACTGGCCTCCTTATGTACCCAAGTGATAACTGGAGTATTCCAGATTTAGAATATTTGCATTTCTTCTGTCTGGGTTACTTTCCCCTGACATCCACATGGCTTGCTGGATAACCATCTTATTTATTCAGATGTCACTTGCTCAGGGCCTTTATGATTTCCTCTATGTTTAAAAATACAGGGAATTCCCTACTGGTCCAGTGGTTAGGACTTGGTGGCTGTCACTGTTGGGACCCAGCCTTGATCCCTGGTCAGGAAATTAGGTCTTCCCTTCCCTCGTTTAGTTTTTCTTCTCGCCATCATCACTTGCTAAATACACATTTTATTTTAATTTTGTTTGTTACCTGTTCTCTTGTTTTCTTTTCCCCACTAGAATATAAGAATATACGCTGCAAAAATTTATGATTTTTTTTTTTTGCTGTGATTTCCCTGGAGCCTAGATCTGTATCAGTCATATAGTAGGCATCCAGTAATATTTGCTGAATGAATGAATGAACAGCTATAAAACAGATATAAAGAGACAATGCACAGGGTTTTAATGCTATACTGTGTGTGGTGAGACTGTTGGAACGAGAGTTTAGGGCCAAGAATAAACCAGGACCTAAATATTCATCAATAGTCAAAAATTGGTTAGTGTTTTTAAAGTTATTGACAGAGACCATAATAGTAACCATTTTTTTCCTCTTGCTTAATGTTTGCCTTTCTGAACATTATTTTGTGTATCTTCAAAAGGGGGTTATGATACTTTAAAGGAGGGTCAGCTTAGAATGCTCTTCCATCATGAGTTAAAGAAAGAAAGGTCTGGAGCACTGCTATGGGACAAGACTCAAGGATTTGTTTTTAGCAAGAGAGAGAGGAAGGAGGAAGGCAGGGAGGCAGGAAGTGACAGGGACAGAGTAAGGGATGAGGTAGTTGTTCTGTCGTTGTCTGTGCCTGTTCTCAGTTCTGTCTGACACTTTGCGACCCCATGGACTGTAACACGCCAGGCTTCTCTGTCCGTGGAGTTTCCCAGGCAGGAACACTGGAGCGGGTTGCCTTTTCCTTCTTCAGGAGATGTTCCCGACCCAGGGATCAAACACATGTAGCTCACATCTCCTGCATTGGCGGGCGAGTTCTTTACCCTTAGTGCCACTTGGGAAGTCCAGGTAATTATTAATAAGTAGTTGATTCCACTAGGGGACTCTAGTAAAGAAAAAGGTATGGGAGACCCCTGTAAGTTATTGATCACCGAAGAAGGCAGGCTTGTTTAGCATCAAAACTGCAACATCAGCTTGAGACATGCCCGAAAACAATCAAGCAATTGTGGCATGAGACCCACACCCTGCCCCGTGAGCTCAGTAAATTAATGATTCTTCTGCACACACTAAAAAATATAAAGGAAAGGTGATATACTAAAACCTGAGATGATTTACCATTTCGATCATGTTCTACTGCCTTTTCGCTCATTTCCATTGCGCAGTGACAGTTCTAGCTTGACATGTAGGGAGGAGGAAGCTCCCCTGCCTGACGTGGAGGAGGAGGCTGATGATGGAGGCATGATGTCTACTCAAGAATGAGGAAGGAGGCAGTCTTTCCCCCTCCCCACTTTTCCTTTGATGATAAACCTAGCCCATTAAGTTTTCGGGATGTGGCCCCCTCTCACCCGCCTGTCTGTAAGCCTCACAAGCATCCTACTGTAGTAAATCACCTCTTAACTATCGCTTTGCCTCTTGCAGACATGGATCTGATTCCTGGCCCGGGAAGATCCCACAGGCCGCGGAGCAGCTAAGCCTGTGTGATGCAGTTATTGAGCCTGAGCCCTGGAGCCTGGGAGCCGCGGCTACTGAAGCTCACAGAGCCCCAGAGCCCGTGCTCCACAAGAGAAGCCGCTGCGATGAGAAGCCCGAGCACCGCCTGGAGAGCAGTAGCCCCTGCCTGCCGCAGTTAGGGGAAAGGCCGAGCAGCAGCGGAGACCCAGCAGAGCCAAAAACAAATAACAGTGTTTAACGAACAGAAAGCCAGGAATCCGAGCCGATGGCAGACAAGGGTCGTAGAGAAGCATCTCACTGGGGCCTCCATTTACTTCTTTATTTATTATCGAACAAAGAAAAAGCGGGCTGAGGAGCTGAAGTGAGAAGACCGGTGAAAGTGGCTGCAAAGATGGCCCTGTTTAGGCCCGACACCAGGAGGGAGTGTGTTAATTTCTTCCTGCTGTCAGCCATTCCCAGGTGAACTGAACAAATAGTTTAACCTTCAGGCACATGGGGGGAAGGGTTCCCAGAGAGGAGCCGCTGCGTATATTTTAAGCTATGGGTAACATCCCTGTAATGATTAACTTGTTGCAAAAGCAAAAAAGAACAAAGGCTAAAGTAAAAGAAACAGACCTGTTGCGAGGCAGGTTTGTTGATTACCTATTCCAGCCTAATTCAGTTCATGAATTTTTCCTTAGGTAAAGGTTATTCTGCTGGCCTGAATGTAAATAACCATCAGTTTGTCTTCAGAATCATGTCTGAATTACCACAATATATCGAGGCTCTTCTTGCTGTATCAGAGGAGCTAACAAAAGGCAGTTTTGTTTAGGCCAAAGGTAAAACCGGGAAAGTCACT